CGCTACGGTTCGCAGCTAATGAGCATGCAGCTGGATTGCAAATGGCTGGATTTATAGTGTTGGTATAAAAATAAAACTGGCTGTAGTTTAGAGCTGTCACAGACAGAAATTGGAGCATTATTTGACATCATCCTTCTACAAATAGAAAAGGCAGAGCCAAGTCTCAGGTAATACCTCTTATTTGACTAACTGGGTATCACTGACAAACCACTTAATGGCAGAAAAATGGTTTTGGGTCAGAGATCTGGGGACATGGTGAAAGAGCAAACCAAATGTTTATTTTGGTTCTTTCATCCATTAGTCTGGCAAGGCCTTATGTTTTTCTACAAACTTTGTACATAGGAACTGAATATGGAAAAATTCTTGACTAATTCAGTGACTGTGACACACAAGGTAAAAATCTCCACCCCGGATTCAGTAATTGTACACACAGTGTTAGGCTTCTGTGAAATACTCCAAGTTAAAAAGATAAAGATAACCTTGCTTTCAATTACAGGTCTTATTTCTATTCTCATGTGTTTAAAATGTGTCTCAGTATCCAGGTCTATCCAAGTGATATGTTGCAAGGAATGAGTGTATCTTCTGTCTTTTTGAGTGTGAGGGGAGACCACAGGGAATTTTTTGAAGTGTTGAATTAAAGCTATATTTAATTCTGAGGTCAGTTCACTGCTGACCTTTGCATATGCTTTACAAACCTTTGTAGAAACTTTTCTGAATGAAATCGTTATCCTGAATTTGTATGCCAACATCAGTGCTTCTAGTCTTAGAGGTATGCTATTACTGTTTAATTGTAACTGTCCTTTATGTTTTGTTTGTGTATTACACTTCAAACCGCTGTTGTTTCAACTGAAATTATGCTTTATACTGAAAGCAAGATATCTGGTGACTTCATTTCCACTCGTTGTGTGTCATAGTTGCACTTAAAAAAATTTGCAAAATGCAGTAGCATTTTAAGGTATCTGAGAGAATGCCTGTTAGAATGTCTCCCTTTTTTTTTTTTTTTTTTTTTTACTTTTTTTTCGCTGAATGTACAAAGAATTAGAATTCCTGTTTTGTCACCAAAGTCAAGATTTTTTTAATTATTCTTTTTTTAAAATAAAAAGTGAGTGCCCTTCTCTGCTATTGGTGTCCGTCCAAGTTCTCTGTATAGAAGACTATTAAAAAGCAGGCTCTTTTTTATCTAAAAGAAGAAAATAAAAAATCCTAAAATGGAGATTTAGAACTTGGAGAGAACTGGTCACAGAGCTGAATATATTTCTTAACATAGTGTGCCTTACAATGTATAGAACTTATTGGTGATAAATATTTGGTTTATTTGCAGAGCTGTTACAGCATGAAGGATATTATGTCGTTGAAATAAGGCTAATCATAGGGTTTCAGATGAATACCAGGTGACAGATTGTTTAAAAACAAGGGAATATTTTAAGGAACTGTCTATTGTAGATAACGGCTTATTACACAAATACAGGTATTTATGTGTAATACACAAGTTATATATATGTCTGTAGTATGTAAATTTAACTATGATGACAAGTTCTCTACATTGGTCCCTTTTAAAATTTCTTATTTTTCTAGTCAAATTTAAAGTTACCATATTTCTTATGAGACTGTAGAATGTCTGCTACAGTTACGCCTTTAATTTTTTTTATGGTTGCAGGTTTTTTAATCTATAAATGACCCATATACTTGCAACACAACAAATAATTATCTGGCTTTTTCTGGTTACCTACTGAGCTATTCTTACTCTGTTCACTGTGCCTGATCACACCTTACATAAAGATTCTATAATACTCATTTTAGACCTTTTGAAAAAAGAACTAAAAAACCTTTTGAAAAAAGAACAACCCCCGAAAAAAAACCCACCCCAAAACAAAACAAAGAAACCCCACAAAAAAAACCCCAACGAAAACCCAAAAACTAAACAAACAACAACAACAAAAACAACCCATGATCTCATCTCTACATAGAAGAAGGGTGAGGGAAAAAGAGAGGAACAAAGTATCAGCTCGGTATTGTTCCATTATGAAATTTCACATTCCTTTTAAAAGCAAGCTATTGATTTAATTTAGCATCTCCCCAAGCCAGATTCAGTAGAAATGGCTTCATGACATCTAAGTACGGGAAATGTTTTAAAATTGAAACTTCTTAATAGCATAAAACATCAAAACCCAAATCTTATGAAAGATAAATGGAATGTAAAATTGGACAATTGTGATTATGGAACAAAGCACAGTGGAAAATTTGTATTTTAGATTCTGTATGTTTCTTTTTTTCTGCTACTTCTTCCATTCTGCTACTGAAATATACATTTGCTGCAGAAAGAGTAGTAGATAAATATGATAGATAAATACTCTTTAAGTATCCCAGATATGAGAGATTTGGGAAAGAAATGAAGTTAAATTTAAACCAGGCCACCACATGGTGGTGTTTGATAAAAGTATGCAAACTACACTAGTACTCAGTTTGAAAAATTATTATGCACAGAGGGAGATACTAATATGAAAATGTAGTGCGAAAACATAATCAATGGCAAGCATTAAGACTTTTTGTTTTTGCTAAAAATTAAAATAATTAAAAATGCTGAGTTTAGTGTTGCATGTTGCCTTCAGTTTCTATGGCATACTCATTTCAGTAAGTGAATCGACATAAAAACTGCATTTAATCATATCTTTCTTCCCCTTCCCTTCAAGGAAGTTTGCTGTTCTCATTAAAACAAAAAATCACCTGTCTCACAGGTTGTTTAGAATTAACTTTTTTGGAACTTAAGAAGAGCAAAGCAAAGAATACTGTCTGGAACTAAATTAAGTAACCTTGATCAAACAATTAACTCATCCTCTTTTAAATCAATATTTGCTGATGCTAATATTGGAGCTAGTTCCAGTAGTTGGAATTGCAGCCACTGATTTAGTGTCTTTATTATTAGTAATTAGGTTGCTGTCTTTCGCCAGTACTACTTCTCAAAGCTTGTACTTGGCTGACTTCTAGAAACTAGTGTAGACATACCTAGAGTAAATGCTCTATATGCTGTTAAAGCTTCTTTATAAGGCTGAAGGCCCTCTCGGATGGTGTGACTCCATGAGGGTTGACACAAGTTCAGGTGTATGTAAGCCCAATTTAGATCAACTGTTGTGAAGCCATAGCTTAAGGCTATTTTAGCAAAACAATTTTTGATTATCTAAACCTTTAACAAAAGCAGAGAGAGTGTCTGCTGTTGCAACATCAGTATATTCTCTTTGGAATTTTTCTCAAGGTACTACTGTAGTAGTCCTTTTGTGGCAGTTTCAGTTCACAAAATGTTCTTTCACCCAGTACCATTCTGTCCATCCTCAGCATCACTTCTAGTAGGACAATAACTGTGACAAATGAAGAGTGAATTTGCTCTGATGCACTTACGTGCCCATGAAGCTCTCTATTACACCTCTTCTTTTTTTTTTTTTTTTTTTAAATCTGCATATTCTTTGCTTGTTGGATCTGATTACTTTCTTTTGGCTATTAAGTTCTCCTTAACCTATCTTATACAGGGTGATCTGATGCTTATTTTTATTTGAGGAATGGTCTTGGGTTTGCAGTAACATCTCTGTGTTTGTTTTGGTCCTGAATTAGCTGATCAGAAGTTACTTCATTATTCTTCACATCCTGAAGGATGTTTTGGTTCTGATATGTAATCCAGCATATATCTAATTAATATATATAACAAAGTGTGAGATGCAATAGCAAAATTGCAGTAGCAACAAAAATAAAGTTTGATAATGGAATTATAATGTAAAAGTTACTGTAGCGCATCAGACTAGACCACCTTAATATTCCCTTCTGACCTCAAAATTTTTTACTTAACTCTTGATTCCATACTTGTTAGCAAAAAGCACCATGCTTCCACATACATGTCCATTATTAGGAGTAAAAGATGGATTGTTTTCCCTTTGAAAGACAGGCCGTAGAGAAAATCGCTGTAATGTAGTTTATGGAACTGTTACTTCTGTCTGTAGTAGCCAAACCATCATAAAAGTAAACAGAGAAAATACTCAACGGAACAAAAGACTATGAAGCTACTTTTGGGAATTTGACTTTTAATTGTTTTGTACAGAAACTAGGATGAAAAATAATGCCATTTAATGACTTGGCTTGTAGCGATCAGGAGAAAAATACTCTGGGATCACAGTCTGTGAACCTGAAATGCTGTTTTGTTTATTTACATGTGATAACTTTTTTCAAAGTTAGTACTAAGAAGGATGTCTTTCATTATTTATCTAGTGCAGTGCAGCAGTGGTATTTAGTAGTAAGAAGGAGGAAAGACCACATGACTATAAGAGCCAATATAGGTCACTTGCAGAACTACTAGATCCTGGATCATGTTGAGAATGTCTGGCAAATGCTGATAAGTGTTGTCTTTGCAGACATCTTGTTTGTTTTGGCCACCTATGACCTGAGGACTTTTTCTGAGATAGACAACTTTCTTCTCCGTACTCCTGTCTTTATTAGTAGTCATCTAGATCTATAAGGGAGCTTATGTGTTTCTTTAATGTATTTGAAATGAAGTACCGATATTTAGCATATTCTTTATGCATATTCTATCTGGATAAGCCCGCAAAGAATCCTTACAAATGTTTTTGTTTTAAGTTCTTCTAATGAGAACCACTGTCTATTACAGCTAAATGCACTTCTTAGATGCATTTTTTTGCAGTGGTTAAGAACCTTTTTTTATAAAACTGTATATTATTTTACAGGGCTGCAGCTTTCAGGAGCTTTTATGTTATCAGTGATGTAACTTTTTACTGTAATAGAATCAGATTAACACAATCACTTGGTTTAATTGCAGATTGGCAAAAGAAAAAGTTATGTATGAAAAGGAAGCAAAACAGCAAGAAGAAAAGATTGAAAAAATGAAAGCTGAAGCATGTGATGATTATGGAATTAAGAAGCAGGTAAAATATACTAAAGCTTATTTTATAAAATCCTTCTTTGCTTTCATGTAATCATAGTAAACCTCAAATAAAAGAATGTCCTATACCTTTTCCCAGACTCCTCTTATATAAATACCAGACTAAAATCCTGACAGTTATAAAAGTCATTATAAGCATTTGTAGAAACTTCTTTTACTCCAGAATTACTGCCTGTGGATTACTTAGGACTTGGTGTCAGGATGGCTGTCACTCACTATCTATGTATGAGGCCATCATGGACTCTTTCACAGGGATACCAGGAATCTGAAAGTACCTGGTCTGGATGCTTTTACGTAAGTGTGTCTGCTAGTTGCAAATGTTAAGTGAAGTGAGAATGCTTGATAGTTAATATGAAGAGAAACATTTAAACTTTTGAGTATACCATTATCCCTGTGGTAAAATCACAGGCCTCAAAGAGAGCACTGGGTATGCGGCTGCTGGAGTTTGTAGTGAAGTCACTGACTAGCAAGCTGCATGCTGTAGTTTCATCTGCTCAAGAGTATGATTTAGTGTCATTATTAGAATATGATTAAAGGACAGTGTCTGGAAACAGTTGATACATTCTAGCTTGGAAGGAGGAGTGTCAAGTTTCCTTCTCATTGAGAGAAGGCTTGTGTTTGGGAGACGTGTGTTTATTTTTTTACAGAAGGGTGGCACGTCTATGTTTAGCTGAGGCCTTTATATTCTTTCAACTAAATATGTTATATTTTAACTATGTTGTTGGGGTTTTTTTCCTCAAGCATTTTCCAGATGTTTTCTCTTGAATCTACACAGAAACTGAAACTGTTAATTAAAATTATTTTCATTTGTTCTGATAATTTAGTGGCCTTGTGCTGTAAAACCTAGCTTGCTGTTTTCCCACCTTGGTTTTTAAACAATGGAATACATTAAGCAAAGCTCTAATACAGAAATAAATGAAAAGAAGATCGGAGAAAGCCCCTTTAAAGCAAACTAAAACAACCTTCTATTAAGTTCAGATTTCAGTTCACGGATACATGCCCTGCCTTGCTTTTATTATGCCATGGGAAAGAAATAAAAATAAATAATTTGTATACAAATAACGAATTGTGTTTATAGAGCTGAGCTGTCTTATGCCTTACAAGAGACTGAGACTCTAAGATCCTACAAAATAATAGTCTTTCTGAAGATCTGCTGGTGCTAACAAGAACTAATGAATGCAATTCTCATTTTTAGTGTCCCCCATTCATCAGATTATTTGACTGCACTGTGGTATTTCTGCAGTGATCTGCAAGATACCACCAAAGTCAAAAAACAGCCGAGGCTGTGAACTTCTACTGTGAAACAAAACATTACACGCTACTTGAAGGTACCCTCAGAGACCAATGACAAAAGGCTTCACAGAGAACAGTCTCAATTCATTCAGAAATTGCCTAATACACTTTGAAAGCAATCAGTTCCTCCAACGACATCTTCACTTCTTGTTCTTTTAGTGTACTGTGCATTCAGGAAGTAATTGATATTTTAGATTATGAAGAATTTGGAGGGTCAGAAAGAATGCGCACACTACACTTTTCATACGATCAAATCTAATAGTCTAAAGAAAATTACATAATACCAGGAGAGTTTGCTCAGAACCATATTTTGGATACAGATAATACTTTTGAGATGCTCTTCAGAAAAGCACACATTTTAAGAATTGTTTTTAGTTACTAATCCCTAATCTGAATAACTGTATTTATTTAAAAATACGGTTGTAGTCTTTATTTCAGTAATGAAAATTAACATTTGGATGATGAGAACGAATTAAATAATTTCAGACTAAGCGAATAATTTTAACTATTATTTTAACTGAGGTATTGGCTAAACCCCATGTATATACAAATCAGTCCAGAGTTGAGGGAGGGATGCTTAAAAACCTTAAAAGCATTACTCACCTCTCATTTAGCTTTCTAGTTACAACTCTGCAGAATGCATGGTTTAACAGTACAGAAGTGACTATGGAAAATATTACTTTAAAATGAGTAATGCCATTCCTACAGTCTATGTAAGCTTTAGGGCATATAAGGATGGATTGGTCCCTTTGTAGAACAATATGGTTTGACACTGTATTTTCCTCCTAACTCCTTATGCAGGGGGGCAGCTTGTGGTTCCTATGAACTCAAGTGATCTCTAGCTGAGGCAGTGACCAGTAGGGGTTGTTTGCAGTTGTTAGGTACTAACTTTCACCTACACTGTCCAGAATTACTTATTTAAATGAGGAGCAGATTCAATACTCAAAAACAAGGACAGTTTTCTCATGATGCTGCTATACACTGACCAAGGTTATAATTTGAAGACCATGAGAAGATTCTTGCAGTAAACCAGGATAGTTTCCTTCCTCCCATCTGAGTGTGTGGAGGCCCAAGCATGCTTTATCTCATTGTCATGATAACCCAAAGTAGTTGGCTTCCCCCTTCATCTACCCCCATGTTTGCATGGCACCAACATGTCAACAGCACCTGCAGTACATCAGCAAATCCACTAATGACCAAAACAGGCCATTGCCTATGTATATGTTAATCAGCACAAGTTTTATTATCTGCCCCTACAGTGGTTTGTTTCCTCTGCGTGACCCCTGATCAGAGCTCTGCTGCATCAGGTCCTCATTGTGATTAGTATTGGTATCCCAGGGCTTCCACCATGGCAACACTGCTTCCAATAAAGCCAGAGCTTTTACTTACTGTCATGCCTGATGGGTTCACACCTGGTTTCCACATATATCACCATTGTCCTGGGTGCAGGTTATATTTGCAGTAGTTGCTGTGTCTCAGCTTGTGTACTTCACCTGAATCTGTGCTGGGTGAGAACTACCTGTGGTAGGTTGTATATCACAGGGAAGGAACTTCCAGCATTATGGGGCAAGGAAGCCCTTCCTTTTCCATTACTGATAGCTTATTTTTTAAAAACGTAAAAAACATACTATCTTGTGATTTTTTTTGTCTACAAAAGCCAGATAAGAAATGTAGAATTACGGGGAAAGCTTACAAACATTAATTTCTGCCATACTGGCAGAAAAAAACATAATAAATTAAGAACAGCATTTGGGGAAGAAAAAATACTATGGAAGAAAACTTTTTATCTCAAAATCACACGATCTTCAGCCATGAGACTTCTAGGGAAAATTATTAAGAACTTTAATAAAATACTAAATTGAAAACAGCCTTATTAAAGATATTTTATACAAAATGTATCAAGTTTGTAGAAATTCAGTAAACATATTGTAAGACTTTTTATGTATTCCACCAAGTGTAAACTCTGCACAGTTTCTTTTTAGTTCTCTATATAGAACCCTGACTCATAGCAGCAAGTAGTGCAACTGTACCTCCGTGAGCATTTTTCCGTAATTAAGCCTTCATTTTTACACAGATGTAAATGATTCTCAGTATATGAAGACTTCACATAGCTTCGTAATACTTCACCTGTAATAAAAACTTTTCACACTGAAATCACTCATGAGTGCAGACTAATGACAGGAACCAGCAGTTTTCTGTATTTCTGTGGTTGTTGATGTGCCTCATACATAAACATCCCTTCCCAGCTAATGCTTTTATCTTGATGCTGGTTGTTTGTGGAAAAAGCCTGAGGTATCTATCTAGCTTTTATTAACTGTCATATTTTTACTGATAGTATTTAGTTTTTAAAAGTTACCCTGTAGTTCTGAATTACTTCCCAAGAAATGTCATTCCCAGGTGAATTAAAATCCACTGAACTTAACGTAGTATTTGCATGCGAAAGAGTACATAAAGTAAGTCTTGCTAAGACACAGTTTTTTACAAGTATTAATAAAACCAGCAGTATTTATTTTGCTTTGTTGAGTGAAAGGTATCTCCTGAAAGAGCTACAAGAAAAACATTGGTAAACAATGTATGCTGGAAAATTATTTTGGAAGATGAGTGCTGCTAAGCTTGGTACTGAAGGAGTTCTTTCTGAAAGGAATGTGATACTGCTGTGTAACTTTTTCAGAAGCTCAGTTCACTTTTTACATTTTTAGCTCTTTCCATGCCCCACCTGATGGGTTCAAAAAGAGTTTAATTCTTCTTACCAATCAAGTACAGTAAGATTTGGTGAAACATACATTTTCACTTCAGTCTGATTATTTTCATAGTTTTTTAATTCTTCCCCACCACCCCCCAAAGAATAGCTGATCTCTGCTTAATAATCTGAACTATAGCTCTAGTTGCTTAGGTATAAATAAAAAATAGCTCCCATAAAAATTGTGTGAGGTTGGCAGAGAAAAAAATTGGCTATTTTTTCTGACAAGGTTGACCCCTGCTATTAGGAAAGCAAGTCGTTCTTTTGTTGGTGTTTTCTTTACACCACTCCCAAAGAAACCTCTTCATCCAGATGGTTACTGCCTTGTACCTGTTTATAAGGTGAGGTTTGCAGTTGTATCAACATTGATCTGTTCAGGTAGAATTTTGAGTTGCTGAAAGAAATGTGCTGCATGTTGATTAAATTAGTTTTCTATAATGGATAATTCCATTATCATCCTCTAACTTAAATTTTCAAGGAGCAGTATCTTCAGTTTATGATACAGCTTATTTAATTAAAAACTTTTTCAGGGGAGGACATAGAGCTTTCCTTCTCTCCTCTGAGAAGCAGCACCATTTTTTAGCTTCATGTGGTGTTCTCGCACCACACACCTGGTGCTGACAATGAAGGAAACCTGCCAGTTGCACATTAGTGGAAAACAGTCAGTGACAAGCTGTTTTCCAGAAAGGCCAGAGGAACTTTTCTGCCTTTTGTGTCCTGAAGTGATTTGCTTCAGAAGAAACAGGATTAGCCCTCACCTGAGAGGAGCTGCAAAGAAAGCTCATTTGAAATACTGAGGCATTATATCTAGAGGGATTTCTCCTCCTCCAGGTTTCTTGCTACAAATAGTATGAAGCCTATGGTTAATATATGGTGGTTTCAGTGCTTGAAATGCTCAAACACTATGGGAACAAAACCATGTTCTCCAATTCTTCAATGCAAGCTTCTCTTTGTGGTCCTTCAGAAGCATTGTCGTCAATGCATTTGACAACTCACCTGCAATGGAGTGCAGTGTGCTCTTGTCTCTTGCTTTTGTGGATAGTTCAAGCTTCTTTTGGGCCTCCTATGTGAAAATAAAACAAGTTGCTTCACATTAACTAGAACTAATAAAGCTTAGTTTCCTACAGTTTTTGTGTGAGATTTTGTTCCTGCTTTGTATTCATTTAATGCTGTATCTCCTCCGAGTTCCTGCCTTCTCTATGGCCAGCCTTCTACATCACCTGTGCTGTCCTACTCGGTATTTTCCTGCACCACCATCCTGGCCCAGCACATGGTGCTTTTATATCCTGTGGTAACCAGTGAGGTGAGCAGTAATACCATCCTGTGGATTTAAGGTACAAATACATTGATTAGCCAATCAGTAGGCTACAGCATGAGTGTTTATGTTACAATTTCTTCATTAGCGGGATGATTAATTTTGGAACTGTTTGGTGCTCCTGATACCTAGAGGTGGCCTTTTGCTTTTGGATCTCTGTCCTTCCATCACATATGGCTGCAATTAACCAATGGATTTCAAGTGTTGTACAAACTTTCTGATGAAAAGTAGTTCAAACCAGTAGCACTTTTCTTAACAAACTTAATTGCATGTATTTTCCTTCCTCCCAACTTTGAGTAGATCTCTACTGTTGTGATTATCTGTGCAGCAAAGGGCAGGTGATTATCAGGCAGTATTTAAAAGCATGAAAATATATATTAATGTGTGTATGTAATTCGTACATATATGACTCATTCATATTTATCAGGTTGGGTTTTTTTAGCCTGTCATGTCCTGTGTTTAGAAAACCACTGCTGTTACATAAAGCAATACTGTCACTATACCCTGTGACCCTGTAGTTCACTAGACTGTCCTTCTAAGATCAAGGAAAGACAGAGAGCCCTCTGGAGGTTTTCTTGTTGTTTTCAAATGATTTGTGTCTCTGCATAGCTCTCATCTCTTGGTTAGCTGTGGGTCAGCAGGGAAAAAAACCCTAGCAATAAAATCTGCTTCCATCTTTTTGAAGCAGATAAAACTCTTGTCTTCATTATAGACACAAAATTGCTTCCTGTTGCAGCACACCTGGTATTGACACTCAGATACAGTAATACTAATTTGTATTTCTGAATTGTCAGAAACTTGTTTCAATATGTTTGGGTGACCCAAAAAGTAAAGAATCTGCCTCATGTGAGCAGCTCTGATCTGCCTATAGTAGCTTTGGGCTTTCATTGTGAGACCTGTTAAAAATCAAAGTTGCTTATGTTTAAAGGTGAAAAAAGGTATTGCCTCCTCAGCTGCTTCTCAGAGTTGTGCTTGGCCTTTGTGCATATCTTGAACATGTACAGTAATTGTCTAATTTTAGTTATGGCGGCCTTCCACTTAAGCATCTGGTAGGTGGATCTATGTGTTTGCACCTGTTCTATCACTGCAATCTGGAATTTATGGAAAACAGATTTAAGGGTTTTGAAGGGTGCATTATGCCCACCAGTTCTTTGACATCTGATCCAATTAACAAAAAATCCACATCGCATTTAGTAAATAGGCTATTTGCAACCCAACAGTTAGAGAGCTGTATCCCATCTGAAGAAACGGCCTTCTTTCAAAAGATGCCAGACATCTACTCCTTTAGTAAAAACACCTTCAATCCTGAAGAACAACTGACTAGAAATGGGGTGGGTTGAAGAGATTTGTTTAACTGGCTTTCTCTAGTACACTTAAATGATGATGTCCCCTTTCTTTATAGCCACAAAAGCTCTTTTGGTCCTATGTGCAGTTATTGACAACAAATTCAATTTGCTTTTCCCTGAAGATATTTTTGTGCTTTATTGCTTTTGTCTTAACACTGCATCTTTTATTACTTCTGTTTGGCATTGTAATTCACAGAAACCTTGTAGATATTTATGGATCTTTGCAGAGTCAACTCATTTTCCTGTAATAACTTCCTTGTGACCTGCTTATAATTTAAACAACTCGAAGTTAGAAAATCTAGTAGAGTTTTGATGGAATTTGGACAGCAAACACTTTAAAAATTTCAGTCCTAAAGCTTGTGTAAGTATGTGAGCTTTTGTCTTGGGGGTTGGACTCAATGATCTTCAGAGGTCCCTTCCAACCCCTAATAATCTGTGACTTTGCTCTATTATGTATATTTGTAACAGTAAATGGTGTATCTGGCATTATCAGTATTAGCTGAAAAAAAAAATCTGTTTTTTGCAGAATATATCAAAGTTTGCATACATAGTTAGGTAACCAACTAATAATACTGGTTCCACAAAATTCCTGTTCTAGTCTCTTTTGCACCTACCAAATAGCTACCAGTATAGTTCCAGGACTTACTGTCCTGTTTTTTATCTATTACTGCATAACTGCAGGCAAATGTAAATAAAACTCAGGTACATCTTTAGATCTCAGTCAAATTCTGTTTTGAACAGAGTGATTGGTGTAGTTTTTCTTCTTTTGCTACAGCAGCCAGGACTACAGCTTACAGATTCTAGATTTATATGCCTTCCTAGATTACATATTGAGTGGCATGTATCAAGTAAGTTACTACTTTTCATATTATCTACCAGCTTTACAGTACAAAACTATTTAGCAGTGCTGGCCTAAGCAAGTCATTATTGCATATTCTCACTTCTCTCCATATTCTATATAGGATAAATTTTTACTGCATAAAGCAGAAGGCATCATCTTATGCAGTTCATGATGCACCTGATTCTGTGAAAGTTAGAAACCTTTATTTTATACATTCACTGCTGAAAGTATAATATGCAGAGTTTGTATTCTTATTTTAATAGAGTCCAGCACTGAATGCGTAAAATAAAGGGATACTATTGATAAGAACTAGAACTTGGGAGTGCCTAGCTTTTTAAAAAAAAAAACCAACAAAACAGACGTTTGTGACCCAACTTTCCTTCATTAAAGTAGACAGGTTTTGCCCTAGGTTTTTAGAAAGAAAACTAAAAATAACACTTTTAGCCCTTTCTCTCAAAAATTACTTGAACTACAAACTTAAATATATGACACTTAAAACCGTGGTGATAATGTCTTACTATATATGGCCTTCCTGTATGCATAAATACATTCTTTGTAATAGCTTGTCTTCACTTTTTCAATGACACTTCAGTACAGCAGCATTAATCCAGAAAGGAAAAGACAACATAGGAATGACAGAATGAAGTAAGCCATTTAAAGGAAATGTCTTCTGTTTCCAGTTATCCTGAATGCAGAAAAGGTTTCATATTTAAATATCTAACAGATTTTTATTTCTAAGTAGATTTAAGTTTGCACAACTTATCTACTCTGTGGCTGGATTTCAGATACAGAAATGTTCCATGAAATAAATGTTCCCCTGTTTAAATCTGAAGTTGTTTTGTGTAGGAGGAGGCAGGATGTTCAGATTCAGTGGGGTGCCAGTTCAGTAATTTTGTTCAAAGTGCATGGTGAGAATAATCTTTCTCCTAAAATGAAGCACAAGGATAAGTAATAACTTTTTATGCATGATAAGCATCAAAAATACGAGCCTGCTGGTCTTTGCTTTTCGTTTTTCTTTACTTTTGTCTTTCAGTCAGAGCCTCCTGCAGTGTGCACACAATGTGATCAATAACTCAATAACTTTTTTCATGCAGTAATTATCTCTATGTGGTATTATCTGAGCAGTGTTTTTCTTTATTACCCAAAAGATGCAGGAGATATTTATATAACCAGCTGATCCCATTTTGGATGAAGCTGCTTCACAACAGCAGGAGAAAGTTTGTTTTAAATAGCCTTTTTAACAAATGCTGTATGGAAGGCTTACCAGGCAGTACATTTTTTCTAAAGAAAAATTATACTAAATACTCTTTTGCACTTAAATAAAGCAAAAAGTAAATAGAAGTGTCCTATAAATTAAGAATTTTAAGCAATTATGCTAAATTAATTTTATTTTAATAAAAAAAAACTATTCAGAAAATAGGTTCAAGTGTTCTGAATGTCCTAGATGATGACTGAAATATTTTCAGAGTAAAGACTTACCTTAAAAATACTCATACTTGGAATATGTTCTCATTTCATTGGCTTCTTATTTTCACAGATCGAGATCTTGCAAGAGTCACGAATGATGATTCCAGACTGTCAGCGCAGATTAGAAGTTGCACATGCAGATCTTACTCAACTACTAGTAAGTACAGCCCCATAACCCACTGGTCATGAAGTTCTGCTGTTCCTTCATGAACTTGGATAAACTGGCTTTTGTGCAGTGCAATGGCAGCATATTAGAACTGGATTGAAGAATTACCTTTTATAGGTCCCAAGACTAGCATCCTATAACATACCAGTATTTCATTTTAGGTAAATGTCTTTGCAGACTTGGTCTTCAGTCCATGAAGACGTGTGTTAGAATGTTAGAAGCTGTCTTTAATGGAATGTACACCCATCATATACTTAAATACTGACGTGCCAGAATAGACTCTTTGAGTTCCTTTGCTAGTTGCATGATCATAAAAAATAGTTTACCTGCTTTGGTTGGTTTTCTAGATAGTGTAGATGTATATAATAGGCTTGCAGTGAACTGAAATAATCAAAATACTTTGCTTACTGCTTTCATTGTGCTATGGAAAAGAAACAAAGACAGCTGAATCCTTGGCAAGTACTGCTTTATGTTTTATTAGTGATATTTTAAGATATGAATACCTGCAAGAATAAGTAGTACCTCATACAAATAGAAATAAAACTATACTAAGTTTGGAACTTACGCTTATTTTAAAAGCTGTCTTTTCACCAAGAATTCAGCTACATATGTAAATGCTACTGTGAGGCTAAAAACCCATACCCTAAATTAAGCCCCAGACACATTTGATGGCTAAAATGCAAATCCCTGCTCAAAGGAAAGCCCAGGGTTTCTCATCCTCGGGCACTATGCTTCTACTGTTTTCAAAAATAAATGCTCACCACCTGACAGGATTTAGGTCCCTTTTGTAATTCAGCTAGCTACTTGACAGTGCACTGGTTTAGATTTCAGTGGTATGCAGAAGTGGTGCCATTGAAACCTACAGTGTGTACAAACTCAAAACTAGGAATGGGGGGAGTTACTATTATCAAAAAACTGGAAGTCTTCTTTTGTTGCTCAGCACACATTCGATACTTGTATTAAAGTCAAATGTACAGAAGTATGTTTTTTAATGGTAAATCTGCTTAAGCTTTTTCCTAACTTGTTTTGAGGTCTGTTGTAACTGGTTCCAGTTATGCTGTCTCTTCATTTTAAGCGTTTAACAGAATAAAACAAAGCTATGCATACAGGTCAGATCTCCTTACACATGACAGCTATTATCTTGGACCTTAAGCAGGAGAAAATAAATTGCCTGTGCTTTGAGTCATGTAGAACTAGTGTGTTCCATGATGACACATACCTAGTTTCACAGAATGGTTTGGGTTGGACGGGATCTTTACAGTTCATCTAGTCCAACCCCCTCCAGTGAGCAGGGATATCTTCAACTAGACCAGGCTGCTCAGAGCCCAATTCAACCTGACCTTGAATGTTTACAGAGATGGGGCATCCATCACCTCTCTGGGCAACCTGTTGCAGTGTTTCATCACTCACATTGCAAAACATTTCTACCTTATATCTAGTCTGAATCTACCCTCATTTAGTTTAAAACCATTACTCATCTTTCCATTGCTTCAGGCCCTACTAAAAAGTTTGTTCTCATCTTAGTTATGAGCCTCCTTTAATTATTGAAAGGCTGCAATAAGGTCTCCCTGGAGCCTTCTCCAAGCTGAACAACCCTAGCTCTCTCAAACATTCCTCATAGCAGAGGAGTTCCAACTCTCTGATCACTTCTGTGGCCCTCTTCTGGACCTGCCCCAACAGGTCTACATCCTTCTTGTGCCAAAGACTCCAGAGCTGGACACGGTATTCCAGGTGGGGTCTCACCAGAGCTGGGTAGGAGAGAATCGCACCCCCTTGACCTGATGGCCAAGCTTCTTTTGATGCATTCCAGGACAAAGTTTTCTTTCTGGGCTGTAAGTCCACATTGCCTGCTCATGTCCAGCTTTTCATATACCAGTAGTCCCATGTCCTTCTCCACAGGGCTGCCCTCAATCCCTTCATCCCCCAGCCTGTATTGATAATGAGGGTTGCCCTGACCCAGATGCAGGACCTTGCACTTGGCTTCACTGAAACTCATGGAGTTCACATGGGCCCACTTCTCAAGCTTGTCCATGTTCCTCTGCATGGCATCCTGTCCCTCAGGCATGTCAACTGCACCACTCAGCTTCGTGTTACCTGCAAACTCACTGAGGGTTCACTTGATCCCACTGTCTATGTCACTGATGAAGGGATTAAGCAGCACTGGTCCCAGTACAGACCCCCGAGAGACACCACTTGTCACCTACCTCCATATGGACATTGAGCCATTGACCACTACCCTCTGAATACAACCATCCAACCAGTTCCTCTCCAGTCAAACACTGTCATCACTCCATGATAGAAGTCCACTAGGTTTGTCAGGCAGGACTTGCCCTTGTTGAAGCCAAACTGGCTGTCTCAAATCATCTCCCTGCCCTCCATGTGCCTTAGCGTGGCTTCCAGGATTTGTTGCATTATCTTCCCAGGCACAGAGGCAAGGCTGACAGGCAGGTAGTTCCCAGGGTCCTCCTTTCTACCTTTTTTAAAATGCAATGTGTCCCTTTTTCCAGTCACATGGGACTTCTCCTGACTACCATGACTTTTCAGATATCATGGAGAGTGGCTTGACAACTAAATTAGCCAATTCCTTCCGGACTCTGGGACGCATCTTTTCAGGTCCCACAGACTTCTGTATGTTTGCATTCCTCAGATGGTCACAAACTTTATCTTCTCTTACAGTGGGAGGGAACTTGCTCCCCTAGTCCCTGTCTTCACTCAAGAGTCCATCCACTCAAGAGGTGTGGGAAGAGAGGTTGCTAGTGAGGACTAAGGCAAAAAAGTGGTTGGATACCTCAGCCTTCTCATCTGTTGTTACTGGGTTTTTTTTTCCATAGCTGTCTTCCTAAATAGAACCCCTTAGCAATTATTTTCACAGTACTCAAAAATTTTGTTTTGTATTCCAGGAGAATGAAAAAGAATTGGAAGAAGCTGAAGAGTATAAAGAAGCACGTTCCATACTGGAGTCAGTGAAGCTGGAAGCCTAGAAGTTTTTCACTACTCTCTTTATATTCATTCGCACTGGGTCCATTCCACAGTTTCATTTGACTATGGCTCTGTTAGTCTTGTTGATTTGCTGAAGTTCCCTTTATGCAAACTGGCCTTTCTCTAACTGCAAGATGCATCAAATAAAGGATGTTCTGAAACATCTGTGTGTTCCATATTCAGGCAATATAGAGAAACATTTCTAGTTCACCTTAATTACAAAAAGACAGTAAAACTTATTTAACATAAGTGTAATGGCTAATATACAGTGTTTAATCTGAACAATTCAGGCTGAGAAACCAAGTTGAGCTATGTAAGGAATCTGCAGGACCAATAAATACTTTGGAATGAAACAGAATCATAGAATGGGTTGGAAGAGACCTTAAAGATTCATGTAATTCTGACCCTCCTGCCATGAGCTTTGGAAGCACCTTATGTTTGAAACAATTTCAAGCCATTATAGCATAATGATCAGTACTGAAAGAGAAAATGGACTAAATGACCCTTCAAAGTCACCCATCATTTTTCTGTGATGCAGTTTATCTGTAATTGTATCAAGTATGCACTCCTTGTTTATCTATGAGCCCAAGACAGAATTAAGAGCTGATTCCAAATGATTTCTCAGTTTGCCTGGGATTGATTCATAGAGCCATGTTCACGCAGTTACCATTGATCAAAATTCTGTACTTTTTCAAGAAGCAGAATTTAGTATTTGACTAGTATGTTATTTGATCTGCTGATTCTGGATTGAATGCTTTTCCTGAAAGCACCTTTGTTTTTAAAGAAAGCTCAGACCCAGAAGATGAAGAGAACTAATGAGTAAGGGCACAATCCTTAATCTGCCTGGAACACCATTAAAACATCTACAAGAGCTGTGATTCTTTGAGAATAGTTTCTCCAAACAGCAAACAGTAAGCTTACCTAACTAACAAGAAAGCTTTTTAAATTCTTTTTTCTAGTTTGAAAGTGCTCTGGCATGTTCCTTAAAGGCAACACAAAGCACAGTGTACCTTTTGTGTGGTGCTATACTGAATACTCTTAATAAAGTTTTGTTAATTTGCCTGAGTTTGGGTAAACTGTGGTTTAAGTACCTCTGTTTGTGTACCTTAAGCACGTCAAGAGTACTAAGTCTGCTTCTCCATCACTCTTAAGCACTGCTCCGACACATTAACACCACCACAAGATTTCTGATTGACTGCAAAATGACCTGCCTTTGAAGTGACCCCAGATCAGTACTAGACAGTGCTAAGAGGTGAAAACTTTTGAGACACTACTACTTCATAAGAGTATACACACACCTTTTTACCAGCATTGTTTCCCAGGCACATAACTGTCAGACACCACATAAAAGAACTGCTGTTGAGAAGAACCTGTCTGAGTACTAATTTCAGCTGGCTTCTTCCATGGTCTTTCACCAGAAACTGGAAAAAGCAGATTTTCATGTCTTAGCCTACCAGCTGCAGTTAACTGTGCTTGTGGCCATTGAGTGGAGTGTGGTGAAAAATGCTGTGCTGAAAAGAAGGTGTGGGGAGTGTAAGAAGGTGTCAAGTTTGCTAGGTAAAGCAGAATTTAAAATAAAAATCACTCTTCAGAAGAAAGACTACATAATTCTGGAAACCAAAAGCACAGAAAAATTATGTGCAATTACTGAGCATTGCAAGAAAGGCAGGTGAGCGTGAAAGCTCAGAGGCATGACCTACAGTGGCTAAAGGACAGCAGCATTGTGATATGGCTTAAGTTGTCATTTAGAGTTAAAAGCATATGGAGTAAGTAGCTACCACATATACCAGACTCCAGGGAAGAGTTCCTCAGTGCAGTAGTTTCTAGGCTAGAGCGGTTTCTCATGTTTGCCTGATACTTCTCTGTCAAAGCTATTTTCTAGCTCCCTCAGATTGCAGCATGAACCAAGATGATACTCTCCCCTGTTTCTTCCCTCTTACTAAGTTCTCCAAAAGACCAAGCATGTTCTTTGGAATAGAAATAGACAGCCTTACTGATGAAAACCAAAGGATGTTTACACCTGAAAGTACTTGCTCTCTTTTTGTCTCCAGATGCCTCAGAAAGTGTCATAACTTCTGAGAGGACAAGCAGCATGATATCTGTAAAATTATACTAAAAATTGTGACAAGGCAGCAATAACATAGGGCCGGCCCCTGAAGGGTAGATAGGCAAAGCCATGCAGATAATGCATTACTCATGCTAGCAGAACAATTGAACCAGTGATACATTACAGTAGACTGCATTTTCCCAGCAGTACTCTCTGAGTGGCCAGATGCAGATTATTCATAAAGATTATTTTTGCTGACAAAACATTTATCATTGAGACTGGATCCAAGTTCCATAGATAGTAAAATGCAGAAAATTAAGCACAAGCAGTAGTATTGTTAGTACCCTCTCAGATCCCAAACTCAAAAGGCAGTTGCACATCAAGCAATACTGTCATTTTTTTATTTTAAAGTTATCAACTCTTCTTGGAAACACATAGTCTGTTATTAGTGGATACAAGAAACGTAACAAGAAAAGAAGAAATATGTAGGCAACATTTTTGACACCTCCATCCTTCTCAAACCTTTCCACTAGCTTTACTGACTCCTTCTGAAGTCTTAGGTAGACGAGTTGTATTTATCTTTTCATATGATGATACATGTTAATTTATGACTCAGTTTTCATGCTGCACTCTTACCGAGAATGCATTTTTTACACCCTGGACAGAGGTACTAGGCTTTCAATTATACCTCCCTTGCTGGCAGAATATGTTTAAGATGTGTCTATTATTATTTGCCAGTTGAACAAAGCATTTGTTTTACTAAGAGGTCACAGCAGAAGTCCATGTTACACCAATGACTGAAGAAACAAAAGAGGTCATTTGAGAAGAAAAAGATAGAATTAAGATCATTTGGAAGTACGTTGTTGTCCTAAATTCTGTGCCCATTGCTCTGATCACATTTACTAGCTACTACCTGCTTTAATGTTTACCCTTGCAGAGTTAAGATTCTTCTTGCCTTTTGATTCAGACGATGTGCTGCACCCAAAATACAACTACAGAACAAATGGTACCTTCACCTGGAAGCTAGTATTTCTTAAGTCCTCAGTCACACTGTATAATCAAAACTGAAAGTAGTGTCAAAACTCTGTCCTCTGAATTTAAACTCCTTCCTTTACCTGAAAAGCTCCCACAATGCTCAGGTCATTTCACGTAACGGCTAATTTTCAGGCCAGTTGTTTTTGTTATGTTCCTGAACACGTTTTAATTGATACAGAGCATTTTCGTACCCAGCAATAACTTGCCAAGCATTCTTTGAAGGTAAAATTCTTATATTCATAAAAGAAACCATAATTCTAAAACTGTTCTGATAGGTCTCTAAAATACCACATCTCGAAGTCCCTCAAAACTGTCTGCATGAAAAGCAAACCTTGCGTTAGCACCACCTTTTGGGTTGTTGTTTTATGGTGTTTATGTTCTGCAAGCAAGATCCTGAAAGATAACTTAATGTTCTTCTGAAAACCAGTGGTTGTAGTTGAGTACTTAAGAAACATCCACATCTCAGTACAAACCATAGGAAGCACACCATTAAACCAAAAATCCCTTCCCCACTCCTATTCTTCAGGCTCTGACTGCAATAACTAAGCTGCATCTCTGTGTAGTATTTGCTACCCTGAAACTCTGCTTAGAGTCCAACATCTTTATCAGTTACTTCTTCCAAAACACAAGCAAAGGTAACAGCTCCCACCAGCATTTGGGGGCAAATATCACTGGAACTCACTTAAACCCAAAATCTAGAACTACTCTGCATAAATACTGCCTTTAACAGGAAGAAAGAAAACTTCAACTTTACAATGGTTTTGTTTCCTTATTTGAAGTTCCTGTAGGTGTTACATTAAATGGAAGGAAACCCACTGACCCATAGAAAGAGCCTCAATTAGTAAGGTTAACAGAAGCTGAATAGGTTGAAATTGGAAAAATAAACACATTATTTATGTATCAATTATCTACTTGCTCCCCATTTCAACAAAAGGAAATAAAATTTTCTCATCCTTCCTAACAATCCAGAGGCCTTCTCCTGCCCCAGCATAATTAGTGGTAAATTTCACCACAGCTCTCCATAAGCAATCAAAAAGACTACCTAATTAAAAAAGTAATTAGTTTACACAGATAGATGTAAGTGGGTAGATTAGTTTATGAAAATAAAATGAAATTCCTCTGGATGCTTTTAGTGACTTGGCTTCCTGCTGGTTTACAGCTTATACACATTTCCAAGGGACTGAGTTAAAAATAATTTTAAAACAAAGACTCCATTTGCAAATTAAGATGGTACCTTTTAAAACCAATTGATCGGATATGTCAATTTCATAATTTGTCCTCAGTTTTTCAACACAGAAGAGAAACTTTTTGGTTTTTTGGCATAAAAACCAATGCCTCCACAAAACAACTAAAATGTTATGTCTCATTTTCTTGGGTAATTTACACAATACCTACCACCACATCATCTAGGCATCAAGACGAACCAATGCTGAACCTGGAACATGAAAGCTTTAGCACTAACATCTAACACACTACAAGATTTGTAAGAAGCCAGAACAGGTCCTGATACCAGAACAGTCCAAAGGCTCTTTCCCCTCAAGTATTCTGCCCCAGTAAAAGTCACAGAAACATCCTGGGCAGGAATGCATTTTTCTCAGGGTAAAAATCAATCCTCACACTCCAATGCGTTGACTTCTGCAATCCCCCAAAATACGGGAAACTTGACAACATCATTGTGGCAGAAGTAGGGAGGTATATTCTCATATTGAGCTCGGGGACAGGTGTGGGACACAGAAGCCAGTAGTCAAGGGAAAAATGTAGAAACAATTATAACAGTAATCCTTGATGAGAACTAGGAAGCTCTGCCAGGGAAACCAGTGAGTTAAGAAACTTCCTCCCTCAAAGGCTTTATCATGGCCAGTATCTTCTGATGGACTTCAAATCCATGAAAGCATCAAATACCATTTGTCACCTTTGACAAAATTGCAAGAAGAACTCTAAATAGCGCAAGAGAGCAAGCTGCCTTCTAAACAAGTGTGAACACACAAAGACTAAACTGTTAATCTTTGTTGATCAAAGTAAAAAGCTGTAAACTCCTTTAAATTAACAAGATATACATGAAACTGATATTTTAAACAGTGATATGAAAAAAAGGATGTAACTACATATGTTGAATTCTTTAACCAATTTG